GTCCCCCGTTTCCCAGGGGAAATGAGTTGAACTTATCCTCCCTAGTATTTGTGCCAGGAAGGCAGATGGGCATCGGTCAGAGAGGACCAGCGCCCAGCGGGGAGTACTCCTGGCGATGGCCTGGCCGGGGACACACAGTAACTGCAGGTGGAGTCTGGTTAGCAAGCACCCTCCTCGCTCTCCAAACTCACCTCCATCTAGATTCCTGAGGCGTCCATGCACAGGGACACACCAGATGAACAGGCACTATTACCAGCCTGCCCTTCAACCTCAAGTCCCCATGGCTTCCCTATCACTGTGCTGGACTTAGGAATTTCAGAGCTTTCTTGCCTCTAACACAAATGATGTCCTAGAGGTCATCTTCAGTGGTTTCCTCTCTTGCCCTTTCTCCCTGAGCCCACCCTGGCATCTCATCACCCTGAGGGCAGGAGAGAGAGAATGAAAGGTAAGCTGCTCTCTTCCCTAAGTCCCAGAACAAAGTCCTAACTTCTCTTCTCCGGTACCCCGTGCCCTTGTGAGAGACTTGGGAAATGCTCCCAGGTCGTATGGTGACTGTGGCTTTAGCCACGTCTATTTCTAATGCAAGTACTCCTCCCACCAAAATCGGCCTTCCCAGTAACAATGGTTTCTGTGTTGCTGGGGCCCCACTGGTCACCGACTTTCATTAGTGCTTCTGTCTTGGAGATGGGACGGAGAGCAGAGAGAGGGGGTCTTTGAACTTCTGCCTGAGGTTGACAGTGCATAATTCTCTCACCCTCTTGTCCTCCCCTCTCACAGGGACCTGCCTCTCTGGGGCTATAACTCTTCCTAAACTACTAATCACTTCACGCTTTTATTCTGCTAATCTTGCTTTGTTCGTGTATTTAACAAGGGTTGTGCTCAACATTCTGTAGACGCCAAGCTTGCTTGTGAGAGTTCTTCAGAAAGTCAGGAAACCAGGTTTGGAAGCTGGGTCTCTAGGGACCTGTCCTCAGTTAACTGGTGGCCAGAGGAGTGAGGTGGAAAATCAAGCATCCTCATCACAGCTGATTAGAACAAAGGCATCAGGCAGGCTGTTGACACACTCTCCAAAGTCCACACTGGGTGGTCTGGAGGCCCACGCGCTCCCATAGCCTTTTCACCCTGACACTGACCCAGCAGGTGTCAGCTGTCGTTCAGGTGTAACCTCCAGATGTTACCTTCCAAGCGAAGTTCTACCACCTCTGTACAGAATGGGCTCAGATACATCTCTCTGAACTGAAAGTACAATCCATGAAGACAAGAGGACTGGACATGCTTGGGCTTTGACAATTGCTAAGTTCTCCTTGGGCAGAGAGATGAGACTCCACTGACAACTTGCCTCCAGTGAAGTGATGTTGGTTGCTGTGGGGTCTTTAGGTCACACATACACCTGGCGTATGTTTATTATCACAGGCTCTGAAAGAAATCAGGCCTGTGCATGTAGACGTCAGACCAAGATCCAGTAGAAAGCACTACACAACAAATCATTAAATAATACAGCACTGTGATGAAAGTGAAGGGGCTGTACCAGGCAGTCTCCTTAGATTTCACATTATTCCAGCACCTGCTTGCGCCTTAAGCGTAAAGCACAAACTTGCGTCTAAGAACTCCAGCTCTGCTTTTATTTAGCCATGGTCCTAAGCAAATCGCTTAACCCATTTAAATTATAGAAAGGAAAGTGTTTTATGAAAGCACACGGCACCGCATGTAAAAGTTTTTGGAGACTTCGTTTAAGCCATTACATCTGCCTTCCCACTCTTGGCCTCTTGAGGGACTTATTCAATCTCCAAAGCCAGCTCAGATGCCTCCACCAATATCCCCAAGTAGCTGTGGAGTCTTCTTCTGGCACTCATGGGCCCATGGTCCTTCCCCCATCACAGCACTTAACATCACGTGCTAAGCTATTTGTGGAAGTGGAGAACTGGCCAGAGGCTCTTCACGTGATTCATCTGTTCTGGGCGCCTGGATCAACGTGATCCCGATAAGTGCTAAATAATAACGCTAGCTGAATGGATAACATCACCCTAGGTTACAGAGACATGAAAGCAAGGAGTCACGTTGGCTAACCGACTATGAATTCCACTGGGGACATAAGGGGAACAGTATCATTTGTGAATTGCAAGGCTTAAATTAGCAACAATTCTGAGTTCACTGCACTTATGCCTAGGAAGCTAGAGGTGTTTTTCTTAACAACTATGGATATCGCCTTACAGAGTAGTTCACAATTTCTTCAGCTTTCATCAGGTAATGCTGGACTGCCTTACCGTCTACGTTTCTCCGCTGGTCACCGAGCAGCAAGACAGGTCCACTCTGAACGTAATGACTTATGCCAGGTAGCAAAAAAGGAAACCAGCTGAATTTATTTTCTAGTCACCTGTGGCACCTTTGTAGAAGGGTATATTCGAAAACATTTTATGATTTGGGAAACTTTAATATTCCTTGCCAAGCTGTATTTACAGTATTTAATGTGTACTACATTTAGAGTAAGAGAAAGTTTGGGGTGAGTTATATATATTTCAGATGGAGCGCTGACCACCCACAGTGGTTTATGTGTATCTGCCACTTCACTGCAGGAGCCAGGAATGTGTCAGCCCAGCCGGAAGGGAAGGGCCCCTTGCTCGCCTTGATTCATTCCACTTCTAACTCTGACAGGCTATCCCACAGTGATGAGACATAGGCCCAGAAACTCATAGGCCCTAGGAGTCACTGCGGGTCCCCGCAGACCCAGGGAACGCAAGCATTCTGAATCAGAGCGCTCCCCCAGACAGAGCCAGCCCTGCAAGCTTCGCCTGGGGCAGGCCAGGCAATTCTTTAGTGCTGCAGGGACAGCCCTCTGAGAGCGGCAGTGTTGGTGCTGGGCTGACTTAAAGCAGCACTTCTGGAACTTTGTGCAGAATGATGGTCGGAGGACTCGTGTCAAGGCGCAGGGCCGGGGGCAGAAGGCTGGGTGGGGTGAGATTCTGCACCACGTTTCCGGTGACGCCTGCTCCACGGACTACATTTTGAATTCTAGATCTCAACTAGATCCACATTAGACTCACGGGGTGGGGGGGACTTTTAGAACCGTACAGGCGCCCAGGCCTCACTCCTTACTAATTAAATCTGAATGATGCTATAGGGGCCGGAGCGGAGAGTGGGGTGGGCGCGAGGGGGGCACAAGGGGAAGTCTTGATCCTGGCTCGATATTGTTCTAAAAGCTCCCCCAAGTGATTCTCATGTGGTCAAGGTTCAGAACACCTGAGCTCAGGTTCAACTCATTGTTAAGCAGGGGCCCAGCCTCGAAGGAAGAGGTTCCAGTAGACAACCAGACTTCACCTGGTTTTGCCACTTTCAATTTTCCCCACCGAGGACTTCCCTGGTGGTGCAGTGGTTAAGAATCTGCCTGCCAATGCAGGGGACACGGGTTCGAGCCCTGATCCATGAAGATCCCACATGCCGCGGAGCAACGAAGCCCGGGCGCCACAACTACTGAGCCTGCGCTCTAGAGCCCACGAGCCACAGCTACTGAGCCCGCATGCCGCAATTATTGAAGCCCGCGCGCCTAGAGTCCCCAACAGGAGAAGCCACTGCAATGAGAAGCCCGCGCACCGCAAGGAAGAGTAGCCCCCGCTCTCCGCAACTAGAGAAAGCCCGCGCGCAGCAACAAAGACCCAACACGGCCAAAAATAAATAAATAAAATGAATTTTCCCCACCGAACAGTCCCGCCACTTGCTGAAGGCAGTTTCCTGCCAGCCCTCATTTTAATGGTGACTTTCAACACAGCAAGTGAGCGGGAAGGCTTTTCCTTCTCTGCATCTCACCCCAATTCCGGACATGGGGTTGTGTACATAACAGGCTGTCAACATGCTGCTTCACGATAGTGAGTTTTACGTCCTCTCTCTGACCCCAAAGAGGTGCTAATAAGCAACTACTGCACCAAAGGGAAGAAGAGAAGAGAAGCAAGGGGCCCAGAGTATTCAGTGACTGAACAGCACTGGGACGTGACTGTCAGCCGCAGTCTACTGATAAAACAACTCCAAGAACGAGCTAGGAGAGGAATAAAGCTTCTTTCAAATTCTTAATGGCAAGAAAACAAACTGCAACTTTCTTTCAGCAGTTGATCGGATTCAACGCATTCAAGTGATGAAAGTTGATGATTCTTAATTCAGACCAAAATAATATCGACACACAACCACAGACAGTTTAGCATTTCATCCTCACTTTTAACCTACAAAGCGTAAAGTGTGCATAAAAGATTTTAATAAATATAGTAAGGCTTAAGGTGACGACCGTTTTGAGTGGAAGAGTTTGCTTTCTCACATAGTAGCTGACATTCAGAATCTTTAAAACCTGAAACATTCACCACCTTACCGTGAGTGATACAAAACACAGCTTGCTCCAGCTTTTTCCCCCACTTGAAGTATGTTTGTACTATCTTCCTTCCTCCCACATCTGATGGACAAACGATGATACAAAAATTTTTGACAGGTTAAGAGAATGCAGTTCTCTTGGTTGGTGTGACCTGAAATGTTTACTGTTTCAGTGCAAAGCTTTTACTGAGTCACTGGACCATGAGTAATGCAGCTTACAAATAAATACAGCTCAACCCAGTGGCTTCAGAGCTCAGGAAACAGCAAGAAAGGCTGTTGAACACACCGAGGAAGGGCAGCAGGGAAGTGTTAGGTCTCTTACACTGTAAACTGGAGGCAAACCCTACCTGTGAGGAAGCCTCCAGCTACACACGGGTCCTCTCATCTAGCACAAAATACCCGAGCAGGTCTTCTCCAGGGACCCTCTCTCTCATCATGCTCTCAGTACAAATCCTTGGCTGCAGGGCCTCAGGGCCAGGCTGTGAGGAGATTGCTGAACACCTCCAGGTCACCTCAGTAGAAAGCGGCCCCGAAATGGCCCGAGGCCCCGCGCCCAGGCAGATCTCCCTGCCTGCAAACTGAACTGGCAGCACAGGTCCCACTGGCCTGGGGACGCCCGCAGCGGGGGAGGAGGGGAGAAGCACACGCTGACCGTCGCCTCCCTCCTGGGTCCTTTAGATGGACTCCAGGATCCAGTCGGCGCTGCAGAGCGGGGAGACGGGCGGTGAGGGGTCCCCCGGGGGGCTTCGCTCCCTCCTGTCGTGCAGGGGGCTCTGCTCCTGGAAATACCCCTCCTCGTCGTCGAAGAAGCCGTTCTCCAGAGCGTAAGTGCAGTCTGGGATGGACGCTGCCTGGCACGCTCCCTTGTATTCCTGGATGGACTCGTAGAGGCTGTACAGCTGGCAGAGCAAGGACATGTCCAGCTGTCGGAGGCCAACCTTGAGGGAAGGGGCAGGCAGGTAAAAACGACAAGTCAGCACTGGAGTGTCATCTCAGCTGTACCCTCAGCCAGCCATCTGCTCGCGCCTGCACATTCCATCCACGCGGCAAACGACGCAGAGCATCACCTGAATGCTTCGGATTTCCAGTTTTGAGAAAACCTTAATTACGTGATGCCCACGCCTCAGACGTTACTCAACATGTCAGGGAAGGATCACACCAGCAGGGCGGCGGGCCCCGGCACACCCTGCGGAGCAACAGCTTTGCACATTCTGCAAGCCCCAGCTGGCTTCGCATTGGACAGCAAGATTCAAGGGTGTCATTTCCTCTTGCCACGATCAGTTTCAGAGAAGACCCACGTGTGCCTGCCCTGCTACGGCCGTCTCTCCTCCCTGGGGCAACAGTCTCCTTGCCACCGCCAGTGGCTCACCGGTCAGTGTCACACACTGCCCCCTGGAGCGCTCACCCTCCAACCAGCTCCGTCTCCAGGCTCACAAGTGGTCAGACTCCCTCTCCTCTGGACAAGAGGACATCTCCTCCCGAGGTGGCTGTGGGATCACTCGCCAGAGCGGCCACCGAATCAACCTGGTAAGACCCGGGACCTCTACAGATTCTCCTGGGAACTATTTTCACAAGTGATGACAGAACCAAGAACATTTAAAAGTCACGTATTTGTTTACCTTCAGGTTCCTCCCTTCTCCGCGGCCCATCCCAGGGAAGAGAGCACAGTCAGGACAGGTGATGCATCGTTTCCATCAATCCCAAAGGGAGAAGGGTTAATTCACCTAGAAATGCAGCCTTGACCAACGCATCTACACTTTCCTGTGCGTGAGAACCACAGTGCTGCTGGGTGGCAAACCTCACGGAGTCTCGAGGGGAGACACTCTAAACAAGATGCCAGATTTTTCATCTCTATGCCTCACTCGATGACAAAATGGAATACTTCCTCTTAATCTATGGGGAGGATCAAATGAAATATCAACCATTTAAATAAACAGGAATCAAATGCCTCCTGTGTATCAAGCGCTAGGCTAAAGCGGTCACGATGCACGTGGAAAAGTCCACAGAAAAACACAGAGAGTGTCAGAGGAGTTAGTCTTTGTAATTACCCAGCAGTGAGATTTTCTGCACAAGGGAAGCTAGGGCCCAGTAAGGAGCGGTCACCTGGTGACAAGACTGGGTGATAAATTCCAGGTCACTCTTCACACCGTCAACCACTCCCAGTCACCAGCCCTCTCTCCAGTACAGCCGAACAGACCACAGAAACGGAGCCGCTCGCACCGCCTTTTCATATTAGCCAGGACGCTCAAAGCAAGACCCAGACAGACATGCAGGTCCTGTTCTTTCTGGAGCGTTTCCCATTATTCCAGAATTCCTTCTACCCAGAACTCCTAAAGAAGCTGTTCCCAGGAAGAGACCTCGCCCCAAGCCGGGGGCGTGGCCTCCAGGCCCAGCTCCGGCACTTTCCATGGCTTTGTTGAGACCCTTGCCCTCAACCTGTCAATAAATGGAGGCTTTGGACCAGATAATCTGCGGCTACACAAATACTGGGGCTCTGTGTCCTAAACCACCGCTCCTTAGTCCTCAACGAATGGCGAGCGCCTGGGAGAAGGCTTTCCTGAAGGACAGACATGCCCAAAGGCATCCTACTCTCCAAAGCACACCTTAAACAAGGAAGGCAAACCAAGAGGTGACCGGGCGGCCACAATGTCCCACTGTCGGGTCAAGACACCATCACTATTCCTAATGAGTGTGTGTGTGTGTGTGTGTGTGCGCGCGCGCGCGCCCGTGAGTGCGCACAAATATACGTGTGGATGTCGGAAGAGTGGGTCCCTGACATTTGTGTTTTAAAAATTACGCAGATGATCCTGAACTCCAGTTCTAGTGAAGAACCAGGGTTCTTGACGGGAGTATCCGTCTCCCTCTGCCGGGCCACGTGTAG